TCTGTCTGTCTGTCTGTCTGTCTGTCTGTCTGTCTGTCTGTCTGTCTTAAATTCAATCAATCAATTAATACATATAAATATACATATATATACATACATAATATCCATTTTTCTATACACATATTTTGAGCTGGTCCACCCATAGTGAAGAAAGTGTAGAGAGTTTCTGTATCATATTTTCCTTGCAAAAAATTGACTGAAGTGGAGCCATGTGCCCGTGGAACACTTTCAACCCTTGCGCCTTGTCGCACTTCACCCATGCCCCAGCAAAGTCCGGAGGTAGCTGAGCTCACCAAAGTGGAGCGTGAGGAGCTGGAGAAGAAGGCGCTCTGCGGCGGGCCCTTTGTGGACATCACTTCCACGGGGGAGCTTGGAACATCTTGGAAAGGTCTGGATTGAAAGGACAAGACCTCTAAAGAAAAGCTGATTGAACAACAACCGAAGAACTCTCGACTTGCAGGAGAAGCAGCTGAGAGGTTTGGAGGCCTCTGCCAAGCCGAAGGCCAAGAAGACATCGGTGACTGGCGTCGTGCCGCTGGCAGCAACCAGTCGCCCATGTGGACTATATACCATGGCCACCAACAGCATCACACTCTCCGGTTTCTCATAGTAACTTGATTTAGTTTGCCATACTTGTCTGATTGCTGAGGTGCCTGCCGAATTGAAGAAATCAAATTCGCTTGAGCTGCTTATCAAGGATGTTTTTCTAGGTTGGATTGGATGTGTCATGTTTTTCCGCGACTCATTTTGGCACGAGACATGTTTTGTTTTTCTCTTGTTTCATTGAATGATTCATTGGCCGATAGCCGCCACTTTGAGCCCAGGAACTCGCAATCACAGAACCTTCAGCAAGCGAAAGAGGAGTCAAACGAACGCGTGATGTGTTATATAGTTTCATGTGCTCCTAAGCCCAAGGATGTACTCTATTTTCTTGGGACCACAGCTTAGTGGCACTCCATTTTTGGGAAAGGAGCCACATAAGGAGGGATATCTTCGGGATCCGACTTGCTTGATGAGTTCCTCCCCGCAGGACTACAAGAAAGCCCAGCTCGCAATGCAAGTGCGTTTGAAAGAGGCAGGTGCCCTAGAACATTGTTAGCTGTAGCTGAAGAGATCACCTTTTTGTCGTGCAATTCTTGCACAATACGCTACACACACAAGACATTGGGTTGTTATGTCTGTCTCACAGGCACAAGCCCACGCCACGCATTTTCATGAGGTCAAGTCTAACAAAGAGTTCCAGGCTGCTGCACAGGAGCACGCCGAGAGGGCAACTGACAGGCAGGAGCGAAAAACGCTGCCTTGTTGGGCTTAAGTTGTATGGGAAGAGAACCAATAAAGCCATCACCAGACTGACTTATGTTTTTCCCCAAACAGTTTACTGTTAGGGGTTCTCAATTCTTTCCTAAGATGTGTCCGCCCTTTGTGTCACTGCTGGTGTCCGCCCTTTCCCGCTGGCCATGTAGCATTTCTATTCATTTGTCTCCCAGGTCTGTCACTGCTGGTGTCCGCCCTGTTCCGCTGGCCATGTATTCATTTGCCTCCCAGGTCTGTTTGTCACTGCTGGTGTCCGCCCTTTTCCGCTGGCCATGTAGCATCTCTATTCATTTGTCTCCCAGGTCTGTCACTGCTGGTGTCCGCCCTTTTCCGCTGGCCATGTGGTGTCCGCCCTTTTCCGCTGGCCATGTAGCATTTCTATTCATTTGTCTCCCAGGTCTGTCACTGCTGGTGTCCGCCCTTTTCCGCTGGCCATGTAGCATTTCTATTCATTTGTCTCCCAGGTTTGTCACTGCTGGTGTCCGCCCTTTTCCGCCGGCCATGTAGCATTTCTATTAATTTGTCTCCCAGGTCTGTCACTGCTGGCGTCCGCCCTTTCCGCTGGCATGTAGCATTTCTATTCATTTGTCTCCCAGGTCTGTCACTGCTGGT